CAAAAAAAAGTGATTGAGAGAGATGGAAAAAAATGAGTTAGGCGAAAAAGCGCAACATATATGAAAAACAACAAAACAAAAAACAGAAAAAAAAGATATGAACCAAACAGACAACATACAAAAAAGACAGGAAGATATAGAAGTAAACGAGAAGAAAATAGGTGGTTGAAGCGGAGCAAAAGGTGTTGAGTTTTTAACCTTGATTCATCCGGTGCTTTGTTGAGGATCGGAAGGGCTACCAAATCGCCTTGCCGATTAAGTGACGATGCGATTTTGTTATTTATCGATTTTAGGATTTCGGTTATTTTGGTTCGAATTATTAGTTCGAATTATCATTGTCGCTGCTTATGGTATCATTATCCGTTTTGTCATTGTTGCTTTTATTCTTATTCCTATTATCCTTGTTCTTTTCATTATTAATATTATCACTTATATTGATAATTTCCATACAGATCAACTCAGCGTTAGCAAGTGAAAAAAAAAAAATAAATAAATAAATAAAAAAAATAAATAATAATAATAATAATAATAAAGAGAAAAAAACTGTCCTTATTGTTGATCTACTAATATATATTTGCTTACTTGTTTAACTGTATGTTATAAAGATATCTGCTCAGTTTTTTATGCATTTAATAATTTTACTCTCAAATTTTGATTTATTCTAACATTTTCATTATAAGCGTGGATGTCAACCTCCACTACACCCCCCCCCCAAAAAAAAAAAAAAATTGCTGCATTCACTTTTTTTTTCTTTCTTTCTTTCTTTTTTTTTTTTTAAATCTCTGTACTTAACATTCCTGGAAAATCACTAACTTCGGTCTATTGTCATTTTCAGAAATGCTTTGTCACGTCTCCTTTTATGTCTACATGCACTCTACATTTTGTTTGTGTTTATTCTGTTATTTAGTGTGATTTCTTTTCGATTCTTGAATTCTGGGTTATAGTGTCATGTCCGTATTTTTGTCTCTCGTGTATGGTGACTTGCGTATAGTGTCTTGGGGGCTTATGTATGTCTTTGCTCTTCATTTATGGTGTTTGTTCTCGGCGTATAGTGTTTTGTTGTTATTGTTGTTTTTTTTACAGAAAAAAAGGAAAAGGAGAGGAGAGAAAAATATGTATCGCATGTACAGTGTATATGTTCTATTAAAGTTCCCCCTGGTTGTCTTGTTTTTTTTTTTTTTTTTTTTTTTTTTTTTTTTTTTTTTTTTATAAAAGTCTGTCTGTCTGTTCATTCATGTTATATCTATATATGATATGGGGGGCACGCATAGGAACTGTGACAAATTCATATATATACATATGCTTCCATATCTATTTACCTGTGTGTGTGTGTGTGTGTGTGTGTGTGTGTGTGTGTGTGTGTGTGTGTGTGTGTGTGTGTGTGTTTGTGTGTGTGTGTGTGTGCGTGCGTGTGTGTAAATATATATATATATATATATATATATATATATATATATATAGCACATATATAGTATATACTTATACACCACTTTTGAAATTGAACTACTACAGAACTCATATATTTTCGTTTCTGTCAGTAGTACAAAAATCAGTTTCATCGGTACAATAGGGACGCCAAACGAGCATTGTTTCAAAAGGCAAAATCACCCATAAATAACCTTTCCCAACGTCTAAATGATCATCACAGATGGCTGTGTTTCGAAGCTTCACGTTTGCCAACACTGCTTCGACTCTGTCGCTGTGACGTAGCGGGGAAAAAAGTACGGGAAAGGCTAGATCAGTAGCAACTCGAGGAGGTGTCATGGCGTCTCATTCTGTTTAACACACACACACACACACACACAAAAAAAAAAAAAAAAAAAAAAAAAAAAAAAAAAAAAAAAACATGGGGTTTATTTTGATGACGTCACGAAAGTTACGAATGCTTTGTGAATAAGGTAGATCATTTTGGTCTACATTTTCAAAAAGGACAGAAAACGGTGATTTTAATAGGTTTTATTTTCAATTGAACAATCATCAAAACAGACGCCATGACACCTCGGGTTGCTACTGATCTAGCCTTTCCCGAACTTTTTCACCGTTACGACAAAGCGGAGCCAATGATTGTATTCATTCAATGGAGCTTACTTTTGTTTTGTTTTCATTCTTATATGTATGTATTAACTTTGGTTTCGTTTTATATTCTTCAAATAGTATTTATAGATTTTATCTCCCACCAAATAATTTGTGAGAATGGAACGAAAGAACAGGAATTTCTTGCCGCTTTCAACAAAACTTTGGCGACAAAAATTAAAAGTCAATCATAGCGAGTTACACGCATCCCTGTATGTGTATGTATATATATGAATAAATAGATTGATAGATGGAAAGAATTAATTGAAAATATAGCGATAGATAGATAAATTGATAGATTGAGAACGAGAGGGAGAGAGAGAGAGAGAGAGAGAGAGAGAGAGAGAGAGAGAGAGAGAGAGAGAGAGAGAGAGAGAGAGAGAGAGAGAGAGAGAGAGAGAGAGAGAGAGAACAGAGAGAGAGAGAGAGAATGTTATCCATAAATATATAACTGATAACATTGATAACAATGGTAATAGATACCGATCCTTCACAAAGATAATCATTCACAACAGATAAACAAAAAACACCGACGTTCAAGACAACACCAACAATAAACACACACGTAAAACAAAACAACAACAACAACAACGAAAACAAATACACATAGCTACCGGAAGTGGCAAGCAGATCCCCAAAATCAGGGTCAGGGGTGAGGGCGTGAGGGCGTGAGGGCGTGGGAAAATCCTGTTTGCTTGTCTGTCTCTTTTGAATATTCAGTCCATCTAGTTTTATGAATATTCTGTTTACTTAGAATAATAAATTCATTTTTTTTTTTATATTCTGTTTATTTGATTCTCTGTATAATGTTAATGGGATGTTTAGGTAATGATGATAATTATAGTGATAGTAATAATAGTGTTAATGATAGTGATAGCAATAATAGTGCTGATGATAGTGATAGTAATAATAGTGTTGATGATAGTGATAGCAATAATATGATAGTGATAGTGATAGCAATAATAGTGCTGATGATAGTGACAGTAATAATAGTGTTGATGATAGTGATAGCAATAATAGTGCTGATGATAGTGATAGTAATAATAGTGTTAATGATAGTGATATCAATAATAGTGCTGATGATAGTGATAGTAATAATAGTGCGATGATAGTGATAAATAACAGTGCTGATTATGTAGTGAATATAGTGATAGCAATAATAGTGCTGATCAGTGAAAATAATAGAGTGTGATATCAGTATATAGTATATGTGATTGAATGATAGTGATAGCATAATAGTATATAGTGCTAAATAATAGTGTTGATGATAGTGATATAATAATAGTGCAGTGATAGTAATAAATGTTTAATGATAGTGATATCAATAATAGTGCTTGATGATAGTGATATAGTAATAATAGTGTTAATGATAGTGATATCATAATAGTGCTGATGATAGTGATAGTATATAATAGTGTTAATGATAATGATAGCAATAATAGTGTGATGATAGTGATAATAATAATAGGGATAGTAATGATGATAGTGATAGTGTGTTAATGATAGTGATAGCAATAATAGTCTGATGATAGTGATGATAATACATAGTAGTGGTGATATATGATGATATCAGATATGATAGATAGTAGTAGTGTTATATAGTGATAGCAAGTGCACAGTGATGCAATAATAGTGTTGATGATCATGCACTATAATAGTGTTAATGATAATGATGATAATAGTGATAGTGTAGCAAGACGAAATGCAATTATGCGGGATTACACAGCGTTTAACTGTATCCATAATTCGTAATCATCCTACCTCTTTTATGTCATTTATCTGTCTTTCCATCTCATTCCTTTTATTTATTCATTTTTATTTATTTTTATTTCCCATCATTATTATCATATCTATATCTACCTATCTATCTATCTATCTATCTATCTATCTATCTATCTATCTATCTGTCTATCTATCTATCTATAAATATTTATGTGTATATGTAAGCAAACACATTATTATTCTTGCGGTAACATTGTTATCGTTATTATTATCCCTATCGTCATAATCATTATTGTTATGATTATATATATACATACATGTATATATGCATGTGTGTATATATATATATATATATATATATATATATATATATATATATATATATATATATATATATTAAAATACACGCACACACAACACACACACACGCACGTATATAGATATATATGCGCACACACGCACACGCACACACACACACACACACAACACACACACACACACACACACACACACACACACACACACACACACACACACACACACACACACACATATATATATATAATATATATATATATATATATATATAACATATATATTCATTTATTTATTTACGTACGCACACACACGAGCACACACACACACACACACACACACATATATAAGTGTGTGTGTGTGCATATATATATATATATATATATATATATATATATATATATATATACATATATAAATGTATATAAATAAATTTATATGTTTATATAATATGTGTGTATATATATAAAATGTATATGTACATATACATACATACATATATATATATATATATATATATATATATATATATATATATATATATATATATATATGATATATATCGTATTCATGTTGACAAATGTAGGAAAGGTATGAATAAGAATGAACATCTTCGATTATATCTTCGTCAGAAATACATTTCTAACCAGAGAGAGAGAGAGAAAGAGAGAGAGAGAGAGAGAGAGAGAGAGAGAGAGAGAGAGAGAGAGAGAGAGAGAGAGAGAGAGAGAGAGAGAGAGAGAGAGAGAGAGAGAGAGAGAGAGAGAGAGAGAGAGAGAGAGAGAGAGAGAGAGAGAGAGAGAGAGAGAGAGAGAGAGAGAGAGAGAGAGAGAGAGAGATAAAGAGAGAGAGGTACAGAGATAAAGAGAGGGAGATGCAGACAGACCTGCAACACGAGTCATCTTCACTAGACACTGACCTTGACTACCCCACGAGAGTGACAATCATCCTTCACAACTTGCATAGTGCTTTGGGGAACGGAGTCAGTGCGACGCCAGGCGCCATGGACACCGGACCTGTAAACAACATTGTCTTTTTGGCCGACTGTTACAAGGTGTGGTTCGGTCATTCATGTTTTTGTGTGTGTGTGATATGATCTGTATTTTTTTGTGTGTGCGTGGTACGGTTTGTTCATTTATGTCTCTGTGATATGTTTGATTCGTTCATGTTTTGTGTGGGTGTGTGCATAGTGTGGACGGTTCATTGAAGCTTCGTGTGTGGTACGATCGGTTCATTCATGTTTTTGTGGATGTGATATGTTCGTTTCCTTAAAGATTTTCATTGGTGCTTATTCATGATACGGGCAATTATATCACGTTTTTTTTTGTGATTCGTTCGATTCATTCACATTTTTCTGTGTAATTCAGGATGCTTATTCACTTACAGAACAATACGTTTCGTTTGAAAACTAGCATCTTTAATTCTTTCTTTCAAATGCCGTACTTTGGTGAGCGATATGTGAAGGGGAAAGGATGTTTAGAAAACGATGTCAATTTATTCTCAACTATTATCATTAGTATCATTTCCACTGCATATTATGTTTGGTTTCTCCGTGGCAAAGTGGTGACGCGAGGGTTCATCTTAGGACCTTCAGGAGAGCCTTGAAGCGAGCCAGTTCGAGTCCCACCACGGTCCGAGGATAGGAAAGTCAGCAACCTTTGGGGTGATGGTTCTCTGAACATAAAACCACCGTGACTGTTTTTCCCCCAAAGTCTGGTTCACGCTGTGACTGTCATTAGATATTATTATCATCAAGACTGAAGTAAAGATTTAATCAGTGGCAGTGATAAGGCTTGAATGAAAAAACAGGGACAATAAATTATATCTTTTCCACAATTTTACGTCCTTGATATATGTTTTGACTATAGTTTCATTCAGTAGTTCACGATTAAAGAAGAGTAAATGATAATGGATTCTATAAGATGAAAAGTATGCGAGTAAAACAAAATTGCAAAACATCATCCGAACACTTGTTTTGCGTCGCCGTTGCTATGACAACGAGAATCCGCAACGACGCCAGGGTTATGAAGGGATTTTGAATATAAATGATATATATGTTTATATTTTTTATTCATTTATCTATATTTGTATATACAAATATATATATTCTACTGGATACATATATTTATACAAATGTGCGTGTGTGGATAGATTGATGGACAGCAGGTATATAAAAGAAAAAAAAAGAAAAACAGAAAAGATGCAGAGAGACAAGAGAGAGGGAGAGGGAGAGGGAGAGGAGAGGAGAGGAGAGGGAGAGGGAGAGGGAGAGGGAGAGGGAGAGGGAGAGGATAGATAGATAGATAGATAGATAGATAGATAGATAGATAGATAGATAGATAGATAGATATATAGATAGAGAGAAAGTAAATATGCAAACAAGGAAGGGAAACTCAACCTTAATGACCATTCCTCTGCCCGCAGGTCGGCCACCACCGCCAGTATCCTCCAGGAACTACAACTATCTACTCCTACTTCGAGTCTCGCGGGGGCAGGTGAGGCGATGTCCTAACAATGTCCTAATTATATCCTAACGATGTCCTAATTATATCCTAACGATGTCCTAATTATATCCTAACGATGTCCTAATTATATCCTAACGATGTCCTAATTATATCCTAACGATGTCCTGATGTCGTAACGTTGTCCTATCGATATCCTAACAATGCCCTATAGATATTGTAATGATGTCCTAATACCCTAACGTTCTCCTTATATCCTAATAATGTCCTGCAGCGAAGAAAAAATACACAGATTTCAGTCGGAAGAAGATAGCCACCTAGGGCTTTGTAGCAGGTTATCCATATTGTTTTTTTCTTTTTACATTTATATTTTTAACTGTTTTCTATTTTTTTTTAAGGGGGGGGGGTTGCGATTATTGTAGTCCCAGTCGGAAAAAAAAATTAGGTGAGGCTATGGGTTCTTGATACTGTTTCAGTAGCCATTGCCGGAGAATGTACAGAATGGGGCGACGGGTTTTTAATAGCAAGTTTCTAAATAGCTGAACGTATATTAGGATGTTATCAATGGCAGGTTTGCAGTACTCTAGATGTGAGTGTAAAGGATGATGGTACAAGTTTCGGTTTAAATATATTCGTCCGCATGACCGATATCGACGATTTTGGTATCGTTTGATTCCTCTCACTCTCCACATTGCAAATATATAGTTTTTGCGCGCGCTAACCCCGTTAGCGACAAACTTGCCCCGATTAAACCCCCACCCTAATAATAATATAACGCACAGTGAAATAACCATGGTTATTCACATAACTTTCCATTGCAGGGGCTGCGCCCCTGCGACCCTCACTGGGGGGGCCGCCGCCCCCCAACCCCCACCGAGGAAACATAACCTCCACCGCGTATTCACGGCAGGCTAGAGCGTTACACAATCATCGTCGATGTCGGAGCAGGGGGCGTATTACCTCGTAAGATTCTCACTGAATCAGCATATTAACCTTATTATAGTCAGCATTGTATATAGAGACGATTGTAGTATAATCAGGATAAACACGGTGGCCCGCCCTCGTCAGCGGGTTTTGCGCCTTTTTCGATGTTACACCGATGGCCTCAAAGTCGAGTTTCCCTTCCTCTGGAATAACGACATTCATATTCCTAACCGAAATAACCGTCGCGTTCAGAAGTCAGTCATAGTCGCCGCGATGGCCGTGTGGGGTGTGTACTCCGGGATTTTCTGCGCGAGATTGCCATTAGCCAAGAAAAAATGCTAGATATGTGCTTCCGCCACGGCCTCCTTCGTCGTGAGAAAGATTGCGGCAGGTGCGGGCAGCCAGCACCTGAATGTGAGGTTGCATCACTTCCTGTGTGCTGCAGCGTCGCTGTATCCTCCGGCCTAGGACCTCCTGCCGGACGCACCCTGCCTCCTTCATTTTGCGGCAAAGGAGCACCCTCCCTAGTAATTAGCGGCATTAATAAATCAGGTTAGTACCTTAAAAATCTTAGGTTATTGTAGGTTATCGGCTCCGCATCTAGTTCGTGTGCGCTCTATCCTGCCGTGAATACGTGGTGGAGGTTTTGTTTCCTCGGCGGGGGATGGGGGGCGGCAGCCCCCCCCCCTCAGGGGGGTCGCAGGGGGCGCAGCCCCCTGCAATGGAAAGTCATGTGAATAACTATGATTATTTTCACTGTGAGGTTAAATTATTAGGGTAATTTTCTATATTACGTCCGGCGCTCCGACATCGTCGCCCCCGCAATCGGGACCAAGTTTGTCACTAACGGGGGGTTAGCGCGCAATAAAACCTATCTATTTGCATTGTATAGAGTGAGAGGAATCCAACGATACCAAAATCGTCGTTATCGGTCATGCGAACGTAATATAGAAAATTACCCAAGTTTCAGTTGCGGGTTTCTAAATAGCTAAGCGTATATTAGGATGACGTGACGGTTTTCAACAGCAGGTACTCAGTAACATAAGAGTGAATGCATAGGATACAACTGTAGATGTCAATAGCAGGTTTTCAGTAGCAGAGTATATATCGGATGGCGCAAGAAGTTTAAAGTATTTATAACGGAAGGACAAAATTTTGCTGCAAGTTTTAATAGCTGAACATTTATAGGATGACGCTACAGGTTTTCAATTGCAGGGTTGCAGTAGCCTAAATGTAAGCGCATAGGATGCTGCTGGAGTTTACGATAGAAAATTTCCGGTAACTTATAATGAGAGAGTAAAGAGGAAGATGCTACAGGTACAAAGTTACTAGCAGCCTTAATAAGAATAGTCAGGCTGATGTTACTAATTTTTAACCGTATGTACTCATAGGGCTTCGTGTTAGGGTCAATAGGATAATGATAAATTACTCTATACGTTAATTAGGAAGATAATTATCATTTACATCACAAGGCCTTGAGTGATAGAAAAATTAAACTTGTAAGTGTGTGATGATAACAGTGTGTGCCTGTTATTATTTACGCATTACCTTGTTCTTGTCATACTTCACAATTTTGTTTTTGTCTGTCTCTTTACCTCCCCCTCTTTCTCTCCTCCCCCCCCTCTCTCTCTCTCTCTCTCTCTCTCTCTCTCTCTCTCTCTCTCTCTCTCTCTCTCTCTCTCTCTCTCTCTCTCTCTCTCTCTCTCTCTCTGTATATATATATATATATATATATATATATATATATATATATATATATTATATATATACACACACACACACACACACACACACACACACACACACACACACACACACACACACACACACACACACACACACACACACACACACACACACACACACACATATGTGTGCATATTACTATTATATAATCGCCAGTCTATCATTATTATTACTTTATACAACATTCTAGTTAGTATGAATTACAGATACGAACGAATTTAGTATTGCAGGAATACATTTGGTGTCCAGATACCACAGTTTTCGTACGCGGACACCGATTATTTGTGACGTAACTGTCGATAATTAGGAGGGGCATCCAGTGATCTCCCTGGCCTCTGCTTTTCTCGCCGTAAGTCAGAATTTGTAGACATCAGCGGCTCTTCAGCGTTAAAAAAAAAGCCAAAACAAACAAGACGGAGGTTTGTTTGTCTTTGCCTGAACGCCGAAGGGACAGAGGCCCGAGTAATCGCTTGACATTCTCATGAAACTCTGGTGTAACACCCTCATAGAGAAAGTGATCTGGGATAAAACGGCTTAGAAATTCTTATTGAGGAATACTGCTATCCATTAACAGTAGATATAATATGCAGTCCACTGATACCAGTTTCTCGATCGGGATTTGTAATCAGCTGGGTGATTTGGCGTTACATGAAACTCCTATGATTAACACAATGAAGATGGAAAGAAGAAATTAAGCTAAATTAATAGGGCATTGTGTGTTACCGTCACGGTTGGTGCATGAAAAGAAAGTGTCTGCTTGGGTGTGGTATGTAGTGCATATGTGGGTTTCAGTTGTTTATAATGTCGATATTCTTATTTATTGATGTTCGTGTGGTTGGTAGTGATTCTTACAGTCTGTGCAGTCTGTGTACTTATCTACGCGTTTTCAAGGATAGTACAATTTACTATAGGGATATCTCTGTGTTGTGTTGCAGTGTGTTTCATAGTATTTACTTGTAATATATCTTACAGGTGTTTATTTTAGTTCAAGTACGCGTATGTAGGTCCAAGACTGCAACACAGTACTGTAAGATTGGTGTTTGATATCAAGGTTGCCTTTAAGATTTTTCTCAGGGACCGTAAAGTATGATTACTTTTGTGGTGCAGTACTACCCTGCATGTTTATATGTGCGTTGAATATTTGAATGGCATGTTAGATGTTAAATGAGCTTCATACGTCTTTATGCGCGTGTACTATGTCGACTGTGTAATTATGTAGCGTTTAAGAACATGATATGTGTGAGAAATAAATAAATTTGCATTTGGACCAAATCTAGTTTACCATTTGCGTTTCCCATGTTCTGTGGAGTGTGAATCCTCTTGAAGTAGTTTTGCAACCATTACCGGGTAATCCTAAAAAGTAAATTGTCGCAAGCCAAGCGTCTTGGAAGACATTACAGTCGGTCATTTTTTTGAGTGGGAAAGATAAAGAGCTGGCGAGTCCAGTGAAATATGAAACAGGGCCAAAGTCCAAAGAACAGCCGTTAGCAGTCCAGTCTCTCTTTTAACCATTATTATTATATCCCTGGTCTATTATTTTGTTTCTGGTATTTCATCGTTTTACCTTAAAATCATATTCATCCTACATCCATTATTCCACCATTTCAATCATCCCGTTATCTTTTTTTTTTTTTTTTTTTTTTTTTTTTTTTTTTTTTTTTTACTGCTCAATCACCACGATTTCCTAATCTATAAATTGCAGCATCACTATCCTTTACCCTGTCTCTTTTATCATCCGTTTCCCCTCGTTCTCCAGGTTCCCCTACACCGTTTTCTTCGGTCTGCAGTACATCCTGAAGCGTTGGCTCGTGGGACCAGTCGTGACGGAGGAGGCTATCGAGGAGGCCAAGGATATCCTGCAGAAGGGCGTTTTCAATGAGGAAGGATGGAGGTACATCCTCAAGGTACTGCGATGAGGTTTTGTTTATTGTCTTTTGTTTGTTTGATATAGAGTTTAAAAAGAAGGTTTTGGATTTATTTGCATTTTTTCTTTTGGTTGATTTCTTTATTTTTCGTTGTTTGTAAGTGATTCCCGTCCGTTATTATTATATTTTGATGTATATCTTCAGTTACAAGATGGAACAACACCCTTTACAATTCCACGAATAAGCGAAACTGACGACAGTATTTAGTTCGCGAAAGACGAAGTAGAAACCACATCAGACTTGTATTATGGCTTATAATTTTCAATAGCATAGTTCCCTGTCAATCACTGTTTTATGTGTGAATAGCCAATAAAATACTTCCGACCTTTTTTACAGTCAAGTTTTCCCACCAACGCCATTATAATCCTCTGCAGCAATTCTTGTATCTTTATTATGGCTTCCCCAGCAACAAGGACTACTTCCAAAATGCCTTTTCTTATTCCGAGATATTCCAATATTTCTAAATTTAATACGGCTTCCTCAGTATCGCTAAATTCTTCCCAAATATGCAATGTTATTCATAGTTTCCTTCATCACAACAATCACAAACTCTTACAGTATAATTCGTGCAATGTGCATGCAGTAAGGAAAAAAAAAACAGGAAATTTTGGTCTCGTTTGATTGAGCATATGATGTAAAGAAAAGATCACCCGATTAAGCATTTATTGGAGCTTAAGAAGTAGAAGGAAATTTTGGTCTTGACTCACTGAGCATTAGAAAAAAGCCTCGTGTTATTGAGCATTCAACAGATAATTAAAAAGAAAGAGATAAAGGGAAAATTTTATCTCACTTTCTAACCCCCCTTTTCCATTTTCCACAGCACCATGGAGGCCGCTTGCCAGTGAGGATCAAGGCGGTACCAGAAGGAACGGTCATGCCGACGAAGAACGTTCTTCTGACCGTCGAGAACACTGACCCAAATGTTCCTTGGCTCACTGGGTATCTCGAGGTAAGGGAAATAAGAAAACTGAAGGTCCTCAGTGGTTTCAATACAGGGGTAGTTTTTTAATATTTTTCTTTTGATTTGTTTTGTTTGGTAGCTTTTCATTCAATTTTTTTTTGTTGTGGTGTAGATTTCGAGTTTGTTAACGATTTAGAAGGTTTAGTTCGTAGTGGTTGCCTGTCTCGAAACAAATGCCCGAATGTATTGCGCTGAAGCAGAGTTCTGTTGTGAGTACTTCTCAACATGTTTCGGACGAAGCTCCTGGTTTTACGCACACACCACACCACACCACATCACAACCACACCACAACCACCCATACCACACTACACACCACACCACACCAACACATCCACACAACACCACACCACAACCACATCCACACACACACCCACCGCTCCCCTTCCTGTGTCCCACACAAACAAATAGCAGTCTCCGCACTCGGATATGAAATAATCTGCATCACAACTTCATCACTCAGACAGAACTCCGAACACCGAACACGTACTGTCACGCACACACACAGTGAAAAGAACCGTCTGTCATCTCCTCCCCCCCCCTTCCTCCTGTCCTTTACATTCAAGGACAGTTTCTTAAATGCAGACCCCCAACCTTATACAGCTGGGGTATTAATCTCAATGATTCCCTTGGGCACGGTTAAATGATATGCCAAGGGAAGTAAGATACGTCAAGTTGTAAATAGTACGAGTAAAGAACAAAACAAAGATAGAGAGATAGAATAGAAAATTTAATAGACAACACAAATTGGTATGTGGTGATGATGAATGAAATGAGATAATAATGATGATGTAGGTTGTGAGATAGATAAAGTGTGGTGAGTGAAAAGGTGTGTGTGTGTTGTATGGTGTGTGTTGTGTGTGTGTGTGTGGTGTGTGTGTGTGTGTGTGTGTGTGTGTGTGTGGTAGGTATGAGTGTGAGTGGATGAGTAGAGGTGTGTAGTGTGAATGTGTGAATGAGAGGTGAGTGTGAGTGTGTGGCGTGTCGTGTACATGCATGTGCGTGTGGATAATAACGTAATTTTCGTCATCACTTGATTACACGCTGCTGGGAGATACAGGGATCTCGATACACGGATGAAGGTTGATGGTCCCGTGTGCGCCCTTGAGGAACGAAAGGGCGATGGGAAATGATTTCTTCGCTTCCACTCCATTTGAGCTCTAAACCTCGGATTCTATAGGAGGGGGCGATTAGTACATAACATACATTCTCAATCTTCATGATTAATTTCATAAAACAGTCGGTCAATAATTTTTATTCGTAATTATTTGGAGCTATTTGAACTGATTAATACTTGGACGTTTACATCTAATTTCAAATCTGCTGGGTTTCATTTTACTGTGGTCATGTACTCAGTCTTGAAATTGGTAGGTGAATGGGTGCATACTTTGAATGCACTGTTTGTTGACTTTTTCTTTGTATGTTGTTACGAAAGTTCATTTTTGTTTTTTCCTTTTTTGCTTCGGTTAGTTTCAAGCAACACCCAGTGGGGCAGCGCTGGGTTCAATTTCACATTTTGGTTGGCGTCTCGCTTGGGTAGGTGATGTCAACTTTTTGTCACGTTTGCTACTTTTTTGTAATGTGTGTTTTTGGGTATAGTATTTTTTTTGTGGTGTTTCATTGTGTCCATTTATTTTTGACACTATTTTCTCAATTTACATATTGCGTAATTCTCTCTCTCTCTCTCTCTCTCTCTCTCCCTTTGGTGTCTCTCTCCCTTTGTCTCTCTCTCTCTCTCCTCCCTTGTCTCTCTCTCTCTCCCCTTCTCTCTCTCTCTCTCTCTCTCTCTCTCTCTCTTGTCTCTCTCTCTCTCCCTTGTCTCTCCTCTCTCCCCTCTCTCTCTCTCTCCCTTGTCTCTCTCTCTCTCCTCTCTCTGTCTCTCTCTCTCTCTCTCTCCTCTCTCTCTCTCTCTCTCTCTCTTCTCTCTCTCTCTCTCTTCTCTCTCTCTCTCTCTCTCTCTCTCTCTCTCTCTCTCTCTCTCTGTATTTGTTTGCATTTATTGCTTCTATTATTATTCTATTGTTAAGAAATAAACCGTGATGTATTAATCCTTTTACCTTTTTCATTATTCTTCATCTTCTCAAACAACAGTTTCCATCACCGTATCAAAATATAATATAACATTATTCAGCATAAAACATATTCATCCTACTCAATCATCCATATTCTCATACACTGCCATACCCATCATTATCCTCTACTATACCCTTACCAACTTCTCCTCAACAGACGATCCTGGTACAAGTTTGGTACCCTATAGCCGTCGCTACCAACTCGAGAATTCACAAGCAGGTGATTCACCACTACCACGACCTCACGGCGAATAATACCCATTTCGTGTCATTTGGTGTAAGTCTGTTTTCTTTTCCATATTCCTTGTTCATTTTTGTTTGTTTTTTATGCTTCTTTGTTGATACTTGCAACAACACCCAGTGTGCGTCCGAAAGTGTTATTTCAGGTATTGCGTTAATTTAAGCTTTGGTCAATGATATAAACATCGATATTTTCTTTTTAATGCACTGTAGTCATGAGCTAGAGTGCATTAACGTGGATATATTAATGTTCATGTTATAGAGTATAGTTGATATTGACGAAACTTTTTAAGAAACTAACGGTCTGACAATTCTTCTGAGATCTCATTAGTTTGTGTATAAATATGATAATGTAGTTCTTTTTTGTATGTTGCGTATTTCAGTTTAGTTATTTTCCAGATTTTGCGTTATATAAACAACAATGGATCGCTTTTGTAAAATTATCACGCAACGTTGCCTAAACGTTTATCACATTACGTAAACATGTTCCATTTCGTTTCGTGTTATGATTAAACTTACGAATCCAAGCACAAATACGATGTTTCAAAATACTCTGTGTACAAAAACCATCAACTTACTTTTTATTTCACGCTAGATAATAGATAATTGGAATTCTTACTGACCTGTTCTCAGCTTCACGACTGTGGTTACCGCGGCGTGTCCTCAGTCGAGACGGCGGCTCTGGGCGGGTCGGCGCACATGATCAACTTTAAGGTGAGTTGAGGTGAAACTGAGATTATTTCTTTCGATTTCGACTGGATGTGTGTGTGTGTGTGTGTGTGTGTGTGTGTGTGTGGTGTGTGTGTGTGTGTGTGTGTGTGTGTGTGTGTGTGTGTGTATTGAGTGACATAGATAGACGTAGGTATATAAAAGAAAACAAAAAAAAGAGAAGATGCAGAGAGACAGACACAGATCATGCGTGTTAATCCATCTGAGTATAAACAAGCTGATTTCCTCTCGCTTGCAGTCTTCCGACACGCTGGCCGCCAACGCCCTCCTGAAGAAGTACTACCACGAGGTCCGGCGCGTGGAGATGGGCGGCGCCTTCTCCGAGCACTCGACGGTGACCAGCTGGGGGCGCGAGAGGGAGGCCGACGCCCACAGGCACGCCATCGAGACCTACTTCGGAGGTGAGCAGAGCGCCCGAAGCCGGCCTGGGTGCTCGAGGGGGTGTCCTGCGAACAGCCACTCATCCGCATATCAACACAAACAAAAATGCACACACGCACATACGCGCTCACACATGCGCACGCAACATGAAGAGTATTTATATCTCTGTCTCCATCTATCTATATCTATCTATCCATCTATACGTATGTATTTATATCTCTGTCTCCATCTATATCTCTATCTATACGTATGATATACATGAATCTGTGTTTATATATCTATCTGTCAATCAATCCATTTATAAACGTAAAACACATACAGAAATTTAAACCATAGAAACTGCCTTTTAAACCTATTGGCAGCCCGGACATGTCCTATGCTGTCCGTGCGTAGCTTTGGGCCTTTCCTCAAAAAAAAAAGAAAAAAAAAGCTTGTTCACATCGCTTTTTACAACTTTTTATAGTTTCCTGTTCGGATTTAGAGTCCCGTCGACTAAAACAGCGAGTGCACAGTATTTCCGGTTTTTATTGGCCATAATAGGTCGTAAGGGCGAAAATCAGGCAGAAAGGAATAGAAGATTGGGGATTTTCTGCATTCTACTCAGTTGGTGTAGTCATTAATTGGTATGGTTATGTAGTTAGGGTAAGTAGAAACGGTGGGAGAGGAGAGGAGAAAGAAAAAGAAGAGAGAGAGAGAGTGAGTGAGTGAGTGAGTGAGTGAGAGTGAGTGAGACAGAGACAGAGACAGAGACAGAGGACAGAGACAGAGAGACCAGAGAGGGGGAGAAAGAGAGGTGGATAGGGAATTGGAAGATTGGAGGAGAGGAAGAAAGAGAGAGGGAAAGAGAGAAAGAAAGAAAGAAAGAAGATGAGAAGTAGAGATTAAAAGAGAAAAAAGAGGAAGAGAGGCAGGGGGGAAGACACACACACACACACACACACACACACACACACACATCATCATCATCATCACATCATCATCACATCATCATCATCATCATCATCATCATCATCATCATCATCATCATCATCATCATCATCATCATCATCATCCATACGAAATCGATTGTATTTCTTTTCTTCATGTGCAAGTCCACTTACTTTCGGTAAAACTTTGAACACGATATTTTTTATTTACGTAAATCAGTCACCTAACAGTTATGAATTTTGGTTTGCATTTCAGAAATACGAGATGTAACTTGTAAAGAAAAAAATTCTGAATAATTTTACTTCTCTTTTGGTGAACGATTTCTTGCTCATTGTCTATTTTGTGTTCGATAATTGGCCACCATTAATCAATAATAACAAAAAGAGAAAAAAAAAAAGATGAAGAAGAAAATCGAATCTAACCTACCTTCATACTTGCAGAGTTCGTAGGATGCGTGTGCGATTCCTACAACATTTACGCCTGCGTGGAAAAGATCCTTGGCGAGGAACTGAAGGACCTCATCCT